ATAGATAATGGAGATACTGCTCATTATAACCCTCCTTGGACTGGCGATGATTTGTTATATGGGCTGGCTATATGGTGTGGTCCTGATGCCATAGGAATTCCTAGCCAGCCATTTGATTGGCTTATATTCCCTAAATAAACAGAGACTTGCAGTAGAGGAAATTTTTCAAAATGATAAATACAGGCAATATTCATCTTATGAGAATATTATTTGTTTGTAATGCATCACTGAACGACTTCTTTAAAAGGCCCAGAAGAGCTGTCCTCTCAGAGTAGGAATAATGCTGATGTCAGGTTCTTTCTCAGACCTCATAAAAATGGAAGAGGCAAGAGAAGTAGATAGGTGTGAAGCAAGTGAATCTAATTCAGGGTTAGGAAGTATACATTTAATATTTAAGGAAACTCTTTAGGTGCTAGCCATGAACATGTTCCAAGGGAAGAGATTGCCTTAGTTGAAAGGAGCATGTCACTATTCATGGAGTTCTAATTCTTTGTTGCTACTATATACAACCACATTTCTTACTACGGTTTTTAAGTGGCTAAGCTAATCAGGCAGCCTGCCTTGAAGCAATTTTTAATAATCATTGACAGTCATCCTCAGAGAAGAGTCTGAATTGGGTCCATTACCACAGCTGAGATTATAGTAAGCCTCTAACTCTAACTCTCAATCTTTGAGTCACTTTTCCCTCTCCCAGGCACTTGCACCATTTCCAAGAAGAGTAGTTAAGGACTAGATATTCACATCTGTCACTCTTCTTGGGTTTGAACTCTAACTTTTATCTAACATAAAGTTAATGGCTTCTTTCTGGTCACATCATTTCAGTATATCTCACTGTAAAACTCTTGTATAAGTCATTTTATAACTCCAGTTTTTCTAAATTCATCTTCAGCCATTTTCTTATATTCTATGTGGACTATGATCAGAAAACAACAGGTAATAGAGCCGTGTCAAACACATATTTAACTTTGCACATTCAACAATTTAGAGAGAAAGGGAATTATAATTTCAGTAAAGTGGCTGATTCTATTAATATTTGATGTTCCACTGAGGATAAGATGGGAGATGTGTTATTCCAATCAGTCTCAGTTCCCTTGGGCCTTTCTTATAGGAAGAACATCCCACTGCATTGTTATTTTCATGCTTAAAGATACATATTTTATACAACACAGCCCTGTCATACGAGCTCCCTACTTGGTTTGGTACACAATTGAACAAGTTATTCTGACACTGGCAGAAAAGATATTTCTCTATGTAAATAGGCTTATCGTAAATGCAGAGAGTGTCGATCAATATTCCTAAGTAAAAATGACAATACTTATGATAGTTAATTTTTTTTAGTCCTTAGTATAACACACTGTACTAGGATGTGCTTCACATTTGCCTTCTTATTTTAATCCTCAACAACCCTGTTAGGTATGTCCTGTTATCCTGTTGTTAAACTACAGTAACTGACTTAAAGACAACCAAGGGAATACATACATACCTCTCTGCATAAATATTTCCTAAAACACAGGTATTCCCAGGAAAGCAGCAAAGAATCATTGCAGGGGCAAGTGCAGTTAATATACAGGCTCTCAAGCTGTGTTTCAAAAGTTCTCATTTAGGAGTGGGTCATCCAGAAGTTGAAATGTATTTTCCCAAGGAAATGATGTTATCACAACAAAAGCATATTTACCCTGAGTGTGCCTGAAGTAATAATAACAGACCTAACCATTTTGTGCACCAATATTTCCATGGAAAAATTCACTCAAGAGTTTCCCCTTGGATTGCTTTGGACACATTTCTCCATCACAGAGGGAATGGGGACCCTGTGGTAAAAACAGTAGAATCATTAGAAATGTTCAAATTCTGAATTAGTGGTGGCTCCCAAGGCCTTTAATGGGAGGAAGGAGGATGAAAGAGTGAGGAGAACTGGGCACAGGGAGACACAGGGTCAGATGATCTTGGGTGGGGAACAGGATGAAGCCTCTGAAGGTGAAGGGTGGGTTGAGGGTTTCAGAGAGGAGAGGGAGAAGGCTAAAGACTGTTAGGGACCCAGAACTCATTGGGTCTAACCTCCCAGGGACTCTTCTCACTCCGAGGCAGCTAGCTCCCTGTGCATTACCTCTGTTTCTTCTACTGAGCAAAGATTTTGCCTGCCTGCTTCCCTTTTTGACCTATCTGTGAAACTAAGAGCAAGCACAGTGGCCCTAAGGCCTTTTTAACTTATATAAAGGAAAGAGCCCATCCTAAGCCATTTGGAAGTTTTCCTTTTTCACTTGCTCACACAAGAGTAAATATCAGTCTACAGATGCTTTGGGTGGGCTTTGGGGTCCCCAAAGGGGCTGAAATAAAATGCATAATTATTTCAAATGTAGCTCTCCAAGGCTGAGGCTTATGGGAAAAGGGAGATGCCAAGCCCCGTGTTACTTTCTCTCCTGCCTCTCTCCTTTCCCCCTTGTCCTCAAAATGAAAATGGAAAGGAAAGAGTAGGGCCCAGATCATAGCTTGCCAGAAAGGAAAGGTTGTAGACAGTGTGATCCATGCACAGGTGCTGGGCTGTATGTTTTTCAGGGGACATGTCTCTTTCAGGGGTGGGATTATGTGAGCACTCAAACCTCAGACCACCTTCCTGTTTACCTACTAGCCAATGTTTCCCTCCCTCCTCTGGGATATGAATCACCTGGACACCTGGGGCACTACCCCAGGCCCACTGAGTCAGTATCTCCAAAGGAAGGGCCTGCAAAGCCCTATGATTAACAAGGCCCCAGGTGATTCCTGTCAAGGAGGTTTGGCAAACACTGCTGACTAGCCCCACCCCAGCCCACCCCCTTTGCTGATCTTTAAAGATTCCTAGGACATTCCAAGCCCACTTCTGCCTCAGAGTCATTATATATGCTATTTCTTTGTGAAAAACTCTTTCCTGCTCCCTACTCTCAGCTAATACCTGCTTCTTGTAACTTTAGGATTCAACTGAATGATCACTTCCCCAGAAAGACCATCCTATACCACTCTCTTCACCATCTAAGTCAGGTTTCCCTGCTTCATTCTCTCGTAACACCTGGTGCTTTTTCTCCTTAGCATTGATCACACAGTTTGTATCTTATATATTTGCTGTAATGTTGGACTCCCCACTAGTACTGAACACAGGAAATGCCTAGTAAATATTTTTTGTGGGAATGAATGAATCAATGGAAAAGTAGTGTTGGGAGGGGGTTACTAAAGGTTGTGTTGGATGTTGCTCAACAACAACAAAGAACTGAGCAATATGCAAGCTTTACTCTCCCAGGTAAAATTTTTACTTGTGAACTAAGATCAAGGCAGATGGGCCCAACAGGTAAGTGTTTCTATGGGCATGATGGGTCAGATTCTTTCAAAAAATATTTATTAAATATTTGATGTGTGCAAAATGCAATATTAGGAGCTATGGATACAACAGTGAATAAAACTGATACAAACTGTCTTTATGGAGCTTACATTCTGGCAAGGATGACAGATATTAAGCAACCGTTATATAATTTTATAATTATGATAATTTTAATGAAAGAGTTACAGAGAGCTATATGAGGCTATAAAAGGAAGACTTGACATGGTCTGTAGGATATCAAACTAATCCTAGAATTTCTGAGATATGTGACTGGGGAAGCTCTGCTTAGGGAATCATATGTATTCTGTCCTGTCTCTTGTCAAAGTTGGCATGAGGGGAAGTGCTGTATAACAGTTTCTCAACTTCGGCATTACTGACATCTCGGACAAGGTAATTCTTTGTTAAGAATTCTCCTGTCTATGCACAGGAGCATTTTCCTGTGCACTGTAGGATGTTTAATGCATCGCTGGCCTCTATCCACTAACTGCCAGTAGCACCCCATAGTTGTAATAACCATAAATGTCTTGACATTGCCACATGTCCTAGGGGTGGGGGTGGGGGACAGAAAACTCTGTCCCTCCTACCTTCCCCAGTTGAGAACCATTGCTCTACATGAAATTTTTTTTTTTTTTTTTTGAGACAGAGTCTCACTTTGTTGCCCAGGCTAGAGTGAGTGCCGTGGTGTCAGCCTAGCTCACAGCAACTCAAACCTGGTCTCAAGCAATCCTGCTGCCTCAGCCTCCCAAGTAGCTGGGACTACAGGCATGCGCCACCATGCCTGGCTAATTTTTTCTATATGTATTAGTTGGCCAATTAATTTCTTTCTATTTTTAGTAGAGACGGGGGTCTCGCTCTTCCTCAGGCTGGTTTTGAACTCCTGACCTCGAGCAATCCGCCCGCCTGGGCCTCCCAGAGTGCTAGGATTACAGGCGTGAGCTACCACGCCTGGCCGAAATTTGTTTTTTTTTTAAATATGTTTTCTATAATTTGTCTAAGTCAATACCAGGAATTTAATTTATTCAATAAATAAGTATTTATTGAGTACTTATTATCTGCCAGGCACTGTTCTAGGCACTGGAGACACAGCAGTGATCAAAGCCTGTACTTTCTTTCTTGAGACAGGGTCTCATTCTGTTGAGCAGGCTGGAGTGCAGTGGCACTATCATATCTCACTGCAGCCTCCAACTCCTGGGCTCAAGTGATCCTTCCACCTCAGACTCCTGAGTAGCTGGAACTACAGGTGCCCACCACCACAGCTGAATAATTGTTTTACATCTTGTAGGAATGGGTCTTGCTCTTCCTCAGGCTGGTCGAACTACTGGGCTCAAGTGATCCTCCTGCCTTGGTGTCCCAAAATGCTGGGATTGTAGGCATGGGCCACCGCGCCGAGCCAAAGCCTGTGCTTTCTTGGTGCTACATTCCAGTGGGGAGAAATGGACAGTAAATTTTTAAATAAGTAATATTTCAGAAGAAGGGTATAGGTTGGTCATAAAGCTCCTCTCTGAGAAGATGACATTTAAACAAAGTCTTGGAAGAAGCAAGGGAATGAGCCACATGAGAGGAGATGCTGGGAGCAGTAGGTGAAGCCATTGGAGGGCCTGTGTTCACATCGCCTTTCTGTCTGCAGGTCTGACCAAGCTCTTTTGTGTTTCAGAGGGTCCTCCGTAGAAGGGCAGCTGAATGGACTCCAGAGCAGCCTTAACCCTGCAGCCTTTGTGCCCATCACCAGCTCCACAGGTTAGTGGGCAGCAGCTCTTCCGCAGGTGGGACAGCAGGGAGGGTGCTGGGCTTAGCACTTCCTCTCTTCTGTCTCCAAAGAGAGTGCCAGTTCAAAGGACAAAGTATCCAGGCTCTTAAAGCATTGACAAATGGGCGTTTTTATTATATTCTTCTTTAAAATAATTTTTTTAAAGCCTAGGATAGGCATTTCCTGGAACTAGTTTAGGGTAATGGAAACTCCCCAATCTGATAGAATGGTGTCAGATTTGCAACATTTAGTAAAAATGCCGTGTATTTTTATTAAAATTGACTAGTATTTCACTCTTTATATTGTATTTCCACGTGTTGTATCTGTCACTTAATCCTCACAACAGCCCTGTGAGGCTGATCTTCTTCTCTTCCCCCCCTCCCAAAAGGAAACTGTGCCTCAGAAAGTTGAAGAGCTTGTACCAGGTTATACATGGACGCAGAGCTGAGGCTCTGGTTGACACAGGTCTTTTCGTGCTAATGCCATGCAGTCTATTGACAGGTTGTTATTGAGAGCCTGAAGCCTCTCAGCATAGGTGCATACATATAAGTTAGGCAATGTTGGCCCAGAGACAGTCTTCTGTGAATAATGATAATAAAAATGCACTACTAAGTAATCAGAAAATTGAAAGAAAATCACTTTGATTCAATTCAATAAGTACCATTAAGCAGCTGGAGGAAGGAGCACGCTGGGCCCTGAGATACATATAGGGTAAACGAGTCAGACTCCACTCTCAGGGAACTTACAGACTCATGGAGATAGAAACACTGATAAATTTCCTCAGCAGGGAATGTGCCACAAGGTGGGGCAGTATCCGGTAGCTGGGGCACACAGAATAACAATAGACAACACTGACTGAGCATTTGCTAAGTGTCAGACACAGTTCTGAGTATTGTACATGTAATATAACTCATTCACTATACAGGCATATAATGTAAGAACTGTAGTCCCCATTTCACAGGTGAAGAAATAAAGGCTTAGACAGATTGTGAAGCTTATATAAAGTCTCACAGCTAGTAAATGCTGTGACAGTATTTGAACCCAAGCATTTGAGCCCAGATCTTTAGGGACTGAGGAGGCATTCCTAGAGGAAGAAACACTGAAGGTGGATCCGTAAGCCAGGATAGGGAAGGCTTCCAGGAAGATGGAACGGTATGTGCAAAGGCTGGAGGCAATAAAAACGCGCTGTGTTTTGCAAGCCCCCGCGGGTCAGTGTGGCTGGGGACTGGGGTGTGAGCGGAGAGTGGCAAGAGGAAAGGTGGTGAGGCAACAGCAATGGTTTATGAGCCACGCAGGGAACTTGGTCCTTGTCCTGACAACAGAAAGGAGCCAGGGAAGAGTTTCAAGCAGGGATGTGAGGGGTGGGGATGTGGTTTGACATAATACACCTTAAAATGATTACAAGATCTCTGAGAAGCCCAGATACTTGGCTGCAGTTGGGGATAACTACATATCACTCATTGGCTTATTGTGAGGAATAAACGAAGCAATATGTATGGAAGGGCTTTAACTACACCCAGGTCAGGTAATATTATGATAGGAGTATAAAAATTTTTCTCCCTTGAAAACCTGAATTCAAGAAATATTTGATGGGGCCGCCTCTGGGAGGCCAAGGCGGGCGGATCGCTTGAGCCCAGGAGATTGAGGTTGCTGTGAGCTAGGCTGACGCCAGGGCACTCACTCTAGCCTGGGCAACAAAATGAGACTCTGTCTCAAAAAAAACAAAAAAAAACAAAAAAATATTTGATGGGTATCTACTCACTCCCTCCTACTTCCACCCCAAAAAAGAATTACTAGAACATGGCTGTTGTTTTTAAGGAAGTAAAATGTCCACCTAGAATTGTTATGGACTGTGAAGTGAGGTCTCAGAGAATCATGGCCAAGTTTAAAGGATTTTTAGCTTTAGAAGTCTGCAAAGCCTAGGAGATTAGGAAACCTAGACTCCTTGATTTGCATGTCTAATTGATAAATTAAGTATTAACTTGAAATATATGTGCTCTCTAGCTAGCAAGTTGGAAATTTGAGGGGTCAGGTGGGACATACTTGCAGCATCTTAACCATGAATTAATGTTTACTGACTCTTGGTGAAGATATTTAGAAAATTTTGCAACACTCATACTGAATTTGATATCAGCTTGAAACCACAGAGCAAGGAGAAGTTGTGCTTCCTCCTGACTTCTAATATTGACATTTCCCCTACTTCTGCCTTAAGGTAACAAGCAGATTATTCTTCTTGACTTATTTAGATAGCCTATTATTTACTGCTTTTGTCATCAAATGACCCTGGGCCTCTAAATTCCCTTGAATTTGTTTCTATTATGTGATTTTCCTGATGTTCCCAATCTTTAGTTAAAGAAACACTTAGAAACATGATATAGTAAGGTTCAGGCATTTTCCATACTTCCCAATAAACATTTTTACCTTCACAGTCTTAGTGACTAATTCTGTTCCGGTTATTTATACAGCTAGTTTCATAACTGCCTGGAAATCTGTGTTTCAACTACAAAGCGTGTGTTTTCTATATTGCAAGAAGATTTAAAGCAGTTATTTTAGGGGTTCAGAAGGGTGTCCTAAGAAAAGGAAGTTAGGTTGCTAGTGGTAGCATTTTTCTTTAAACTCACAAGAAAGGATAACAATCACCATAATGAGTCAAAAAATTTACACTCCTATACTGGTTGAGAAGTTTGTGCCTATACTGGAATCCCTGAACTTTCTATGAAAGGTGTTTGGTGCCTGTCTGGTCCCCGTTAACTCAGATGGTTAAATTTTGTATTAATGAGTTCATGAATATAGCAAGTATCTGTTTCTGGCCCCTTAACCCATTCCCTAAGTCTGGACTCTCAGGCTTTGAGCTGTGTGACTTTGTTTCTCAGGCAATCTGGATAAGATAGTGATTTGTCCTAGGGCACTGTTTGAAAGCTCCTAGCAGAGTGCCTGGAATGCTCCAAGAATGTTACTTTTCTTTGACTTTCCTAACCTCAGGCTATGTATTCAAAGTTTGCTATGGAAAGGAAGGTGTAGAGTCAGCAAATTGGGAAATTTGAGAAGGAAGCTCCAGTGAGGGCCATTGGCCCAAAGCCAACATCTTGGCCTTCCTTCTTTATAACCATGACGTTCTTCTTGAGTTCTGAAGTGGTGATGGTGAACTAAAATAGCAGAGAGCAACAGATTAGATAACTGACATTACTCTCGTGCTGATTTGATAATGTAAACTACCATTATTATAGGAGTCTGAAGCCACACCAGCTGCCCTTGTCCCTGGCCCTTGGCTTCTGCCTAAGCCTTTCCTATCCTGGAGTCCAACTTTTCCCCACCCTCTTCTATTTTTAAGCTCTTATTGGTCTGTAGTTGGTGGAAGAGACCTTACCACCTTTTGAAAATCAGTGATGGATTTCATTTACAAGAAGTAAGAAGTGATGTCCTTGTTAAATGTTTATTGTTTGGGCCCTTGCTAAAATTTGCTATAGCTTTGTGCTCTTTGCGTGGGGATGGGTCAACAACATGTCAGTGTGACTCTGCCTGCCCACTTCATTGTGTCCCTGAGACAACAGGAGAAAGGAACTTATTTTAATATATATATATAAAGTAAACCCAGTGGAGCTTAAACACTAAGGATTTGGAAGTCACTTTAACTTTCAAGTGAAATTATTTGCCTGGAAGCTCTCCATGGAATGACCTATTTTCATTATCAAATTCTTATTCTCTTCACCACACATTATATAGTTGTTGGAGCTCCTGGGTGGATCAGGAGTATTTTATAAAAATAAAAATAAATAAAGCTTTTGAGATGTTTGCCCTGTGTTCAATACCCTTTATTGCTCCCAAAACATTCTTCTCTCTCCAGGAACAGAGGGGTCAGAATTTGGGTTGATTACCCACTTTTATTCTGTTCAAAAGCAAAAGAGAGACTATGGATTTGGTGTTTGGCAGGAAGTGGGGTGGCAGCATCTGGGAGGACAATGATCCCCTTACCTAGATTTAGATTTGACCTCTTGTCCTTTGGGCCAAGATCAAATATAGTGTTAAGTAGGGATTTTTTTTCCATTTTTCAGGATCTTTGGAAGCTCCCCAAGTTATTTTCGCCAGATCCAAACCCTTGCCCACACAGTCTGGAGCCCTTGCTACAGTTATAGGACAGAGAAAATCAAAGTCGGTGAAGTCAGGGCCAATTTAAGGTAACAGTAAGAATAAAAGCATATTTTTATCATTTTTCACTTGCTGACTTTATGCCAGAGCAAGAGACTTGGTAACTATCAAGAGAAGTGATAGCTTTTCAAAATAACAGTGAAGCTGGGCTTTATAAAACTAAAGCTCAGAAGGAATCTCCAAAACTGTGTGTCAAAGTTGAGCTACAAATAGCTTGTGTCTATAATGGTCTACCAGTAGGTGGTGCTGTGGCAGTAAGAAATTTCTCCACTGTTCCTAGAGCCATTTATTTAAAAATATGGGGACTTTGAGACAATACAAAGAAAGAAACTAAAGCCATAATTGAATTATCACAGGTAAAGTGTAACAGAATACATGGGAAAACATATTTGAAGGTCAGGTTGAATAATCTCAAGAAGGAATGGATATTATCAAAGAAGGCTTTTAGACTAGAATTAGGTAGTTTGTGAAACTGGACTTTCAGATAATGGGAGGCAAGGAGGAAATAAATTTTTGTCTTAAATTTTAGTGAGGTTGATGAATTAATTATGATTTTTACTGAGTTATTTAAAATAAGCATATGCTATAATTGGCAGCAAAACAAACTATATACCCCAGCCTACACCTATCCAAAAAAAGCTCATACATTGAGGAATGATCTAGCTTGATCTTATGAAGCTGTATCTACACTTCCCCAGTGCTGCCCTCAGTGTTTTGTTCCCAGCTATGGCCTTCAAAACTTTCCAGAAAATTCTATGAAACTTCAAGGCTTTGATGATTCTTTTCCTCGTTGCTCTGCCCTATACTCTAAAGCAGTAATGGCACACCTGCTATAAGTTTAATACTCTTTTTACCTCTAGGGGAATATTTAAAAACTTGTTTGAAAAGCATTATTCATCAGAATACCCCAGGAGAGCAAAGGAGAGAGGGAAATTATTTACCCACCACAGGATTCATTTACATTGGATCAGCAAGCTTCAAATATCTTTCCCCAGCCCATATAAACTCTTTCCAGAAAGGAATGAGGAAAGAGAAGGGAACACCAAATCCATGGCTTGGTCATCTACCAAAATGTACCAGAGAAAGTGAAAACAACCAGAGTTCTGTTGGTGATACTTAGCCAATGGGCCTTTAATTCTGATGCTAAGCAGCCTGTACAATGATGAACAACTAATAAAATATAGAAAACTAAAGTGAGAAGGTCAATATTTCCTTCAGGAGACTGTCAGCCAGAAGAATGAATGTGACATCAGGCTCCAAACCAAACTGATGGTCTGCCAAGAAGTAATCACGTCCATCCATTTCCAGTATTGTGAGCCTTGGACCTGCCACAGTTGTTATATCTCTTTCCTTGAACCTCTTTCATCAATATCCCTTATAGTCTACCCTGAACATTACATGGCAAAATAGGATCATCAGCAAAGAAGCCTTGGGAAAGAGCCCATCTCTCAACATTTAGATCTTTGTTGCAAACACAGCCCTGCTGAGCCCAAGCCATACATAAGCTAGGGATGGCTGATGCTATGCTGTGTAGTAAGGTGCTCAGGTGAGATAAGGTGCTTTGTGATGCTGTGCTCAGGTGGTAAGACAACATGCCAGGTGTGTGTGTATGGATGAATAAGACAGAACAGCTCAGAAGGTCTCAGAAGTCCAGCCTCCCATGATGCAGTGTAATTGCTAGGAAGCTGCAGAAGCAGGCCTGTCAGCCTGGCATGTGGCAGAGGGCAGTGAGTTGCCTCTCCTTGAGCAGGGAATTAGGTAGTTTGCAGAATGAGAAGGCAGAACCCCAGAAGCTGCAGCTCATCACCCAAAGCCTGCTTTCTTTTTGTTGTGAATGCACTGTAGACTGCAGAGCTCCTTCAGGCACAATCACACACACAAATGTCATGACCAGCTGTGACGGTCCTAGAACTTCTTTACATCTGTGTTTAGAGAGGCAATCAGGTTAGATTAGAGAATTTGAGTTGTGTTTGTATAACATGTTTTATAATACTGAGAAAATATCAATTGTCCTTATCAAAGGGTGGAGGGAGCTACGCTAGCTATGCTAGTAGAAGAGTATTAAGAACCAAAGCCTATCTAAGACCCCTATATGCCACCCTCAGCAAGTGTTGTATTTAAATACAGATATTGTTCTTTGTTTTCTTAGATTCTGTATTGTCTATTTGGCATCTGGACGTCACAATACCAATTATATTAACTACATTTTCTGTATTCTTGATGCTCTGGCATTTTGGGGGCCTTACAGACCCAGGGAAAGATTGCTTCTTCCATGACTAGCTAATTCTTAAAGATAATAACAACTTGTCCATGAGTACACCTTTTATATGCAAACCAACCAATCCCAAATTTCTGCCCCTAACTACTTCCTTATCTACTTTCCTATACCAAGCCAAAATTTCCCTGCCCTAAATCATCTCAGGGCCAGGTACCAGGTAACTAGATACCATCCCTATATCTCAGAGTCTGCCAGAATTATTCAGACTAACTAATCCAAAGCTGCTTACTTGCCCTGCCTTGCCTTTCCCACATAAACCCCAATAAGGGCTCTGGCCTAGACTTTCCTACACACACACTCCTCTCTTCTGCCTCCTGACCAACACTGGTCCTTTCCTGTGACCCTGTGTGGTATGCAGTGACCCCCTTTTCTGGAACCCATGAGAATAATCAACATCTTCCAAACCTTGTTTTCATTTCCTCCAGTGGCCACATCAACTTTACCATACCATATTCAACATGTACATTCTTAAAACAGACATCAAGAAGAAAAATATCTTTAATTTGTGGTACAAGGAACCGGGGAAAATATGAATTAGATTTATATCACCCAGTTCTAAGGAATTGGTCGTAGCACTTCATTATAGGCTGGTATTACACAGTGATATTTTAACAGTATGTGTTTTGCTAGTGTAGATCAGGCTGCAGTCACACAAAGATGCGGATCGCTCTACGAAACAAAATCACTTGGCTGTCAGCCATTGAAATTTCGTGCTTTCCTGTCCTGAAGCCTCTTTCATTTCATTTTTTTATTTTTTTTTTTTTTGAGACAGAGTCTCACTTTGTTGCCCAAGCTAGAGTGAGTGCTGTGGCATCAGCCTAGCTCACAGCAACCTCAAACTCCTGGGCTCAAGCAATCCTCCTGCCTCAGCCTCCCAAGTAGCTGGGACTACAGGCATGTGCCACCATGCCCGGCTAAGTTTCTCTATATATATTAGTTGGCCAATTAATTTCTTTCTATTTATAGTAGAGACGGGGTTTCACTCTTGCTCAGAGCTGGTTTTGAACTCCTGACCTCAAGCAATCCACCCGTCTCAGCCTCCCAGAGTGCTAGGATTACAGGCGTGAGCCACAGCACCCGGCCTCATTTCATTTAGTAACTGTTTCTATTAATACCTTCAGAAACAAAACTCAAATATAACTCAACAACCTGGTTAGAAGTTGGGAGAAGATAACCTGGCTTTTGGTTTGGGGGAAAAAGTGGGGGTAGTTCTAAGAACCTACCCAAAGGGAATTCATTTGCCTCAAAGAAAACCAGAGAACTGTATTTCTGACACAGATGAAGAAATAGGCTACTGAGAAAGATAACATCTGCAAATTGATATTTTCTCTTGCTAAACTGGCAAAATCCCAAGAGAAGAGTGATGATTCTTCAATTGCTAACAATTACTACTTTGTTATAAAGAGACAAGGGAAGTGCAGTGGCCCCTTTCTCAAATTACACTTATATTATAGAAGCATACCCACCTCCTGGAAAAAATGCCTGGCACCTTGGATTGTTAGAGTTGCACCTACCACTGCATCTTGTAGCAAAACTGTGTGGTCTATGTAATAATACCCATTCACTTTGGGTGGAAGAAGATCCAGTCTTTTCTTGTAGCCCTGAACTGGGCAAGTAACCACGTAAGGTTGCCTCACTCTGTGAGTCTTTATACATATCACTCCAGGTTATCAATCTATTCTCTGTGGTTATCCAGCCTGTGAACCCACACACCTTGCTACTAGCGTCAATGGGATGCTTGTTGTAGCCACATACCTTTGCTTTACTATCCTTATATCCTCAGGACATAATTGCTCCTGAAAGTTCTAAAGAAAGAAAATGGCATGCTAAGCCATGCCTGTCTTTGGAAAAGAGCAAGCTTTCCACATGGAAATATTTACAACTTTGCTTACCTGATCTACAGAGTTTGAACTAGGCCCCAAAGAGTGTAGGTGTATAACTGCAGGGTTTGGAGAATGATGACTTGACTTGAAGTATATTATCCTGTTGGCATGATTGGCACTGATATTTATCCTTTATTCTTTCAAATTATGATTATAAAGAAAAAGACTCAAATTCTCTTAAGTCCTCAAAATTAAGACCATCACTAGTAAAACTAAAACAATAGTCTCTTACACTTCTTAGTTCTCATCTTTCAAACATGCAGGTTTCAGTTAGCACCATAGGTGTCAAGGCGCTCTCTTCTCTTGAAACCTAAAATCCTGGCTATCCAGTTATCTGATACCAGAGAAGGAAGGGCTTGGATGTGTGGACTATCCCTGTAACTACAATAAACATAGCACCCCCAGTATAAAATGGGGATAGAAGTTGAAAAACAAGCCTGGTTTTAGGATGATGGAGTGAAGAAAAGTCAGCTAGTTAGAAGTTGCTACAGTAGCAGTATTTGTTTGTTTGTTATTAGCTAGAAGAACCATTCTTTTATATATATATTTAACTGAAAAGTGACTTTGAGGGTTTTCCACCTCTTCTCTTCTTTTGTAATTTGTCACAGGAAATTAAGGCCTCTGCCAAGCCCAAATGAAGATATTTTGGAATTTGACAGAGTTTTTTAACTTACTATGACTGAGCTTCAAATTTTATTAAGTAATGGATTGTTCATAGTTTTTAATCAGATATTGGAATATGGAATTTTCAAAACCATGACTTTTTCTTAGAAATATGACTTTTTTCAGGCCTTTGTCTTATATTTATTCATCCTTTTTACTATTCTCCAAAATAAATCACCACTGTGCATGTGTATATATACTTACT